CATAAGCTCATATCGTTACAAATGGCTGTGTATGCCGTTAGCAGGGCTGCAGCACAGAGCCATCTAGTAGCTGTAATGATACTCCTCTGCCAGGCCTGCTGCCCACACCAAGCCTCTGCAAACAGGTAGTTTGGTTTTTCTGTTACTATATATAATTTTAATTCTGAATCCCCCCACACACACACTCCTAGCCGACTTGCAGCTTAGGGCCAGCATCCCTAAACATTTTCATATTCCTTACACTGTTTGGGATGTCGAAAAATAAAGTCCAGGGCTTAGTCCCGCTTTCTTAGGAAACAGGAACTTGTTTTCACATGACAGGTTGCATTCATTCCCAAGTCCAGGGTGCAATGCCCATGTGCGTCAAGTGCACTCAAGTCACAGCCAACTAATGGCGACCACAGCAAGGGGCCCGGGGTTTCAAGGCAAGTGAGAAGCAGAGGTGGTCTGCTGTTGCCTTCCTCTGTAGAGTCTTCCTTGGTGGTTTCCCTTCCAAGTACCGACCCTGCTTAGCTTCCGAGATCTGACGAGGTCGGGCTATACCATACCGCCTTCCCTCCCGTGCAATACCTCCTGATCAACAGAACAAAGTTTGAGTCCAGTGGCATCTTTAAGATCGACAAAGTTTTATTCAACTTGTAAGCTTTCGTGTGTAAAGTTTACACACTGAATAAAATTTTGTTCGTCTTAAAGGTGCCACTGGACTCAGACTTTGTTCTGCTGCTTCACACCAACATGGCTACCCACATGAATTTTTCCCGGTCAGTAGGTATCACCATAACCCCCTGCTCTCTAAACATTTGCGAAGCCGTCCTCTGCACGCGCTCAGAGGCTTCCTCTACTGCCTGCGTACTCCTCGCGTAAGAGTGGCTGTTCAAGGGACTGGAAAAGCAGTCCAGCGGCGCCTTCTGGGACTCAGCCTCAACACAAAGCCCCGGAATCAGGAGGCGCCGCCAGGTGCCCATCCTTCCTGGTGTTCCCCCAGGCCTCGCCCTCTCCCTGGATCGCAGCCTGGAGGAGGGCAAGGAAGAGAAATCACATGGGAAAGGAGGGGAAGCCACACGCGGTCGCTGGGATGGCGGAGAGAGGAGGTGAGCGGCTCGGGTAGGAGAGGCAAGGAGGGCTTGTTGGAAACCCCCCTGCAGGGGGTCGTTCCCGTCTCGATCTGCATACTTACCAAACTTCCTCCCTTAGAGCCGGGCCCGGTTTCCTTCTCAGGGCGGCTGATTTCCTTGTTTGCGACAGGTCTGCCTTGTTGCGCCGCGCATCCTGGCTCCGAGGAGGGCGGTAGAGCCTAAAGGCTAGAGCCGCAGAAGTCCAGGGATGTGGAGTCCGGGGGTCTAACCGTTGCCGCCAAAAGACCAGAGTGAGTGTCGGTGTGTGTGTGTGTGGGGGGGGTCTTATTGCTGGTGGGGGGCAGAGGAATCAGGAGCCGGACGCCTTTACTCCTGCTGCGAAGTATTTACCTATTATTTACGATTTCCCTCCCCCCACTTTTTAAAACACGTGTTTGTGGAGAAGAGCGTTGTGTAATACCCACGCTGTAGTGATGATGGTGAATGTTATGGGCAGATTGCTCGTGCCGAATAGCGCAACCGGGTAGAAACCAGATAATTTCTACATTTCGCAAGAGGAGGGTGAGATCTAGTAATTTAAGAGGGGAGGGGAGTTCTTGGTGCACGGAGCCCTAGGGCCTGAATCTGTCAAGGGGTCAAGTGGCTGTGTCTTGGAGGAGGGGGGGGGGCGTGTAGGATTCCTGGGTTCTCAAGATGGAAATGGGGGATTTGTCGCCCTCCCCGCTTCATGGTAATGGGAGGAAACTCCCCGCCCCTTCCCTTTTGATGCACTTCCCCACAGGACCACAAGGCACCTTTGGGCTGGGTCTGAAGCCACTGGTGCCTCGCCCTGTGAGAGGGGGGATGCCAGCAGGGCATGCCAGTGGGGATGAGTCAAGAATTCTTGGCTGAAGAATTCAGTTACTCCTGGAGAGGCCACCTTCCTTGGGCAGGTGCCACCCGCGTGGCACCAGCAGGCAGGCAAACTTTAAATATTATTGGTAGCCATGTGACCATCCATGAGCATGAGGTTTATATAAGCACAAAATGACAGATCTGTGCCCCAAGGAGCCTACTAGTCCAAATGTGGGCTGTGGGGAAGGCATCAAATGAAAGACATAGTTTCAGTACGTTGGCTGTGTTTTTTTGGGGGGGGGCGTGAGGACTGAGAGGGTTTAGACTTTCCCCTCTCTCCATTTACAGGAAGTTGGCAGTCTCTGTCTCTCTATCTGGGGCAGAAATGGGCAAAGCTACGATGTGCTAAAATTGTGCACTTCCCAGCATGCAGCCACCCATGGCATTCTGCCATCGAGCTGATTCATGCCCTGTTCTCCCCCCCCCCCTCGCCCCCACAGTGTTTTATAACAGTTCGGAGCCTGCTCTTTCATTTCATGTTCTTTCCCGCTGTGTCCCCTCCATGCTTAGGGTGGCAGCCACCCCTCCTCTGCTGCCAGCAGGACGCTGGTGCCTTTTGAAAGCCCCGTGGCAGGCACAGTGTGTAACTGGTGCATTCTCTCCTACCCCTCTACCCCCTCCCATGATGGTATTTCCATGCTGGAGAAATATGCACCTGCTGGACTTCTGCCTGCAATGCTTAGAAGTCCAGCCTAGAGTGTGGGGTGGGGGCTGGGGAGAGAGAAATCAAGCCTTTGCTTGTCTGTCTGGCAGTCACTGAACAAAAACAACCATTTTCCAAGGGCTAATTTGCCCTTTCTGCTGCTGCTCCTCCCTGCGTTTAGAAGACGGTTTTTTTCCCTTTCCCCTCCTAGCTCAGGATGACTCGGAATCCCATCTATGATTACCCTGAGCCCTATGCCAACCCCCGGCACGAGGCACAGACATCTCCACGGAACATCAGCCTGGTGGGGCGGCTGCGGCTCACCCAGCCCGTTTGGCTCCAGATGGGCATCAACTCAGCTACGGCCCTCCACATCTTGCAACGTGAACCTCCTGGGGTGAGGATCAAGGGGGTTCGTTTGTTCTGCCTCGACTCTAGTGCAATTTTTATTTTACCCTTTCCCCAAGGAGCTCAGGACAGTATACATCAGTGGTGGCGAACCTTTTAGAGACCGAGTGCCCAAACTGCGACCCAAAACCCACTTATTTATCGCAGAGTGCCAACACGGCAATTTAACCTGAATACTGAGGTTTTCGTTTAGAAAAAACTCCTCATACCTTAACATAAGATGATCCAAACAAAGTAAGGAAAGCAATCCTAAATGCTTTCATTTACTTAAAATTATTTGGCAGAGAATTCCACACTTTAATGACGGTCTGGGCCTGGCTGGAGCAATGGCACTTGTGCCCACTGAGAGGGCTCTGAGTGCCGCCTCTGGCACGCGTGCCATAGGTTCGCCACCACTGGTATACATGTTACATAAGAACATAAGAGAAGGCAATGTTGGATCAGGCCAATGGCCCATCCAGTCCAACACTTTGTGTCACACAGTGGCCAAAAATACCAGGTGGCATCAGGAGGTCCAGCAGTGGGGCCCGGACACCAGAAGCCCTCCCACTGTTGCCTCCCCCCCCCAAGCACCAAGAATACAGAGCATCACTTGCCCCAGCCTGAGAGTTCCTATCTATACCTTGTGGCTCATAGGCACTGATGGGCCTCACAACGACCCAGTGAGGTAGGAAGAGACACTGGCCCAAGGTCACCCAGCAGGCTTCATGGCAGAATCAGGATTTGCATCCAGCTCCCCCAGATCCTAATTCAGTACTCCAATCACTCCAATGCAAAAGCCCTCCATTTATCCCAAAGCTCTGGCTAAAAAGAGTGGGTGAGGGCTGGGTGAATATTAATCGTGCAGTGTGCCTCTGAAACAGTGGCAAACTGCTAATCCTGCCCCCACTGAATAGGGTGACCACTTGTTCTTTCAGCAGGCCATGTAATACCCAGGTGGGACAGGCAAAAATCCAACAGCTAGAACATCCCGTGGTGTATGATGTGCAGCTGCTGAATTTCGTATTCCTGTGCCACGATGAAAAACACAAGGGGAATAAATACGTGGTGTGGGAACTTTATCCCTGTGTTGCCACCATCAGCTTTATGCACCGCTTGGATGAAGTTGTTGCTTTGTTTTCCCCTTTGGGGCTCCTGTGCCTTTTAAACGTCACATGACAGACAGCCCCCTTGTATAAGAGCTTCAAAAGAGACCATTGTAGGACTGTATATCTTGAGAAACTAACTACTTTGGAGCTGAGAAGGGCTTTTACTGCCCTAAGGTTCCATGCCATACCTTCAATGGTTTGTATTGGTCGCTTTCTGGGTGCCCCTGCCGCTTCTAGAATATGCCTATGTGGTATGGATTAAGTGGATGATGTCGAGCATTACATTCTGAGATGTTTATGGCACGAATCACTTAGGCAAAGGTTTATTTATCCTATTGTACCTCTGTATAATGGAACTGCTGAGCAGGATTTGACCGTGTTCTTGCTTTCTGATACTGATGCACATGTTACTAGCAGAATGGCTTTGTTTGCACGGGCGGCAAAAAAGATAAGACGGGGTCTAGGACTTACTGCAAGCTATTGATGTATATTTCTGTTGTGCTTTGATTTACTTTGTGCTGTTATGGCCAATGGCTAAGACAATAAACGAAACTTATCAGGACAGACAGAAATGTAGTTCGTGTAATTTTTCCACAGAATGGAGACAGGAAAGCTGATTTTCTATCAGGGCACAGGAGCCCTACCAGGAAAAAAAGTTGGTAATGGCAATCTGGAATTGGAGGTGGAGCTTCTTGGGAACCCAAGAGAGGTCCAGGCTCTAGAGCTGCCAACTCTGGGTTGGGAAATTCCTGAAGATTTTGGGAGAGGAGACTGGGTAGGGCAGGGTTGGGAGAAGGGAGGGAGGTCAGCTTGGTATAATAGCCATAGAGTCCACCTCCAAAGCAGCTGTTTTCTCCATGGGACTTGATCTCTGTAATCTGGAGATCAGTTGTGATTCTGGGAGATCTCCAGGCCCCACCTGGGACTGGCAACCCCAGGCCCAGCACACTTGGCTAGACTTAGACGTTAACAGCCGGGCAGCAGTAATGTCTGTAGTCCAAGCTGGGTTTTTGGTCAGTTGGCAACCCTGGCTCAGCTGTTTGTGTTGGTTTGCTTATTTAAAAAGAGAACCACAGTGCAATTAAAAGAATTCACAAAGTGGTTGATGAGAACAAATACCGGAATAACGTTTGAGTCCAGTGGCACCTTTAAGACCAACAGAGTTTTATTCAAGGTATGGACTTTCTGTCGTCGTCTCCAGTTGAACCCAAACAGGTGATAGCCTGTTCCAAGTATACTAAGTATACTAAGCTTATTATTCTTTTAATTTTAACTATTCTTTCCAAGTATACTAAGCTTATTATTCTTTTAATCTGTTAAAACCACCTTCATTATTCTGTATGCTAAGTGACTTTCCACTCTCTATATGTATGATGGTTATTTCTATTTCCATTTCATTGTATCTGAAGAAGTGTGTGTCCACATGAAAACTCATACCTTGAATAAAGCTTTTTTGGTCTTAAAAGTGCCACTTGACTAAAACTTTGTTCTACTGCTTCAGAACAACATGGCTGCCCACCTGGAAATACCGGGAAAATAACTGACAGCTTAGAAATATAGATGTAAAATATGGAGCATGCCCAGAATGTCTTTCTCTTGCCCAGGCATCCCCTAGGAAGGCCTTGCATGGTGAGTTTTGACCTCTAATATCTTCCCTTTTAAAAGCAAAGCACAGTTTCCCCCATTTAAAAGTCCTTACTCAAGATCCCTTCATGCAGACTGGGTTACTTTCCACTTAACATCTGTTAACCACACAGTTTACACTTGACGGTCAATTTCGAATATAGGACTGATACCCCGATCTCCTTGTTCTTTTTCAGGGTTTACTTATGGATAAAAGAGAGATTGCAGTTACAGAACCAGGAAGGAGTTTAACTAAAGCCATGTCTACACATGCAGATGGTAGAATTTTGAAGAGAAAGAGTGGGCTGTACCACTTCAGATCTCAGGCAGGGCAATCATATTTTTAAAAACTCCCTGCAGGTTTGTTTGTTTGTTTAAAAGCACATCAGTGAGAAAGTTCTAACCTAGTTCTGTATATATTGTTCTAGTTTTCTGCTTACAAAGAATGATAGATGATGGGGAACTTTGAAAAATGCGGACGCTCCGCTCTGAAGTGGTGCAGTCCATTCTGCTCCCTCAGTGACCCTTCACTTGGCCGCAGAGCCAGCCTGACACGGGGAAGTTAAGGACGTGGTGTTTGTGGGTGCATAATGAAGCCATTGTGGGTTTTTTCCTCCTTTCAGCAGACTCCATGTTCTACATGAGCGTGGCTCTTGCAATATATATTTGTTCTTGATGTGCTCTCCCATCTTTGCATCTTCTCACTCATATTATACCTCTCTCCCCTTTTCTGCTTCTCTCCCCCCCCCAAAAAAAAGACCTTTCTGGTGCGCAGATCAAACACACGACAATGCCAGGTTCTCTGCCTGCGTCTCCCGGACAATTCATCTCCAGTTTTTGTGACCACCTATTGTCTCCACCAGGAGCCTACAGGTAAGGCCAGCATGGTCTTTTAGGGGGTCAGACAGAGAGGAGCATGCTGGTGAATCCAACCTTTGAATCCAACAGGGCTCCCTCCTGTATGTCAGGCAGAAAAATCCAGTGCAGATTCTCCCTAGCCTTCTCCCAGACTGAGTCAGCTTTTTACGGGGAGGCATTTTATTTCTTAAATGGCAAAGTATTCAGTCCCAATTCCCTCCCTCCGGCTGTTTGAAATGGCAGAACCTATTCCACACGAAAGGAAGATACTCAGCATATGCTCAGGCAGGACTTAAAGCAGTTGGGTCAACTTGCCTGTGGCCACATTATTTCTTCAGTTGTTAGGGTTGCCAACCTCCAGGTGGGGCCTGGGGATCTCCTGCTTTTAGAACTGACCTCCAGCTGACGGAGATCAGCTCCCCTGGAGAAAATGGCTGCTTTGGGCAGTGGACTCTATGGCATTGTACCATGCGGATACCCCTCCCCTCCCCAAACCCTGCCCTCTCCTGGATCCACCCCCCAAAGTCTCCAGGTATTTTTCAACCCAGACCTGGCAACCCTATCAGTTGTGCAACTCAGTGTTGAGAGACTGAGGGAAAGTGGTAGGCAAAGCCTTGCCTCAGCATTTAGAAGTACCACCAACTACCCAATCAGCCACAAAGCTCACTAGTGACCTTATTTATTAACTTAGATATTTATATTCAGGGGTCGTTTCGTAGAAAAAGAGCTAGGGGAACTCATTAGCATAACTCATTAGCATATGCCACACCCCCTGACATCAGGGGCCCGGCGGTGGACCTGCAAGGCCGGCGGGAGTGCAAGGAAGCCCCGCGAAGGCCCTCCCTGGCCCCAGGCAGGCAGGGGTGGGGAGAGGCAGGGAGGAAGCAACTTACCCTCCCTCTTCTCCTGCCTCCTCCTGGCTGAATGAGGGCCGGAAGCGGGGTGGCTGGAAGCAGGGGGCGGGGCTTCGTCATATGCCCCGCCCGGGGGAACTGCGATCCCCCGCGATCCCCCCGAAATGACCTCTGTTTATATCCCATTTTTCTCCATGCTGGGGCTCCAAAGTAGCTTACAACACAATTCTCTTCTCCCACCATTTATCCTCACAACAACAACAGCCCCTGTGAGGTAGGTTAGGCTGAGAGAGGGTAGCTGGCCCGAGGTCACCCAGCAAGCTTTCATGGCGCAGCGGGGATCTGAACCTGGATCTCCCAGATTCTAGTCTGACACCCTAACCCCTGCACTGTGCTGTCTGACCTTAGGCCAGTCGTGTTCTCTCAGCTTAATTGAGGATAAAATGGAAGAGGGGAGATCTGCGCGTGCTAGGAAGGACAGGGCTGGGTAAACATGTGATATAGGACAGGATGTCCTCTGTGATACAGGACATGTTGTAAAGGACACAATACCATAGACAGATCTCAAATAGTTGGTGTCTGGGCATATATTCAAGTTTTCAGAGAATATCTGATATTTTTCCGAAACGAATTTCAGGCAGCATATATGCCCCAGTGCTAGTTCTGAGAACCATTGAATCCTGTTCACCTTCTTCTTTTGCCCAGTCATCTCACTCGAGGGCTCTGACATGAAGTTTCCCAGCCTCTTGCATCTCATCGCTTCCTACTGCTCCACACCGTAAGTAACAATCAAGCAGCCTTGGTCTTGACACCAACCTGAGCCATCTCTTCCCCAGGACTGCGGCTTGGCTGTAGCTGTAACTGGGCATGCGGGGGTGGGAATTCTCAAGCAAGTATCCCCGGGCTGCTGCTACAAACACATTTTCCTGCAAAAACTGTGAAAACAGTTTGGCTCCACATAAGTGTTTTTACAGCAATGTGCCATTTTGAACACTGCTGACGAAAGGTGTTTTGTTTTGTTTTTTTTAAAAAACAGCATATTAAAAACACTGATTTTGCCAAGTTAAGACTTCATATGCTTTCCATTTATGTTGACCAGCAAGACTCAAGTTTCATTTTAAAAAAAATGAAAAGCTTTCCACCACAATCAAGCTTGGGGGGGGGGGAGGGGCGGGCATTTCTTATTTGAATTTGAAATCTGAATTCTGGATTTTGAACAAATTTCATGCGTGTGCAAAACTTTAGTTTGCGTATGTTTGCTTGCCAAGGGTTCCATTTCAGACTCTCTCTCTCTCTCTCTTTCCTGCCCCCCCTAGGGACATTCTCCCTCTCCCTTTGCATCTTCCCCAGCCCATCCAGAAGGCCTCATCCTGCCAACAGCTAGAAGCCATTGCACATTTGGGACTTGGTAAGTGCCTTTGGGCTGACCTGGTCTTAAAACTGTAACAGTTCCTTAAACTTGCATCCTTTCTTACATGCTCTCTGTCTAGCCTTTGACCCAGGGCTTTTTTTGTAGAAAAAGCCCAGCAGGAACTCATTAGCATATTAGGCCACACCCAGCAGCAGAAACACATTAGCATATTAGGCCACACCCTGGACAGCACAGCTTATTAGCATATTAGGCCACACCCACATGTTACCAGAAGTGTGGTCATCCAACCACACCCACCTTTTGCTTCTTATTCTGTTTACTTTGCTGTCAAAACCCTGGGCTTTTTTTGTAGCAGGAACTTCTTTGCATGTTAGGCCACACACCCCTAATGTAGCCAATCCTAATGAGTGTCTGCTGTTAGGTGTGGCCTATTATGCTAATGAGTTCCTGCTGGGCGTGGCCAACGCAGGAGCCAGCCGGAACTCCGTTCCTGTGTGTTCCTGCCCAAAAATAGCCCTACTTTGACCCATATAAACCCATATGTGGGGGCATCTCTCTCTCAGTGGTACAGAAGCTCCCTTATACAAGTCAGACAGACCATTGGTCTATCATGGGCAGTATTAACTACTCTGAATGGCAGCGGCTCGCAATAAGCTAACTTGATTCTTTTAACTTGAGATGCCGGGGATCAAACCTGGGACCTTCTGCATGCAAAGCAGAGCTTCTGCCACTGAGACACAGTACTGATCTGGATGGGCAGTATGTGCATAGATTATGAGGCCGGGCCAGAGCTCTGTGAAAGAACATATGCTTTGCATGTAAATCTCTAGTAAGAACATTGATTTAGCCGGGTCTGAGACCTGGAGGACCACTGCCAATTGAAGTACACAATACCTGGTTACAACAAGGACTGGTGGTCTGACTCAGTAAAACTTCCCACACAGACTGCCTCGTTCCCCTCAATCTGGATACATCAACATTGAACTTCTTTACAATAAATCCTAACATTAATAACAAGGAATAATACATAATCACACAATGCTTTAATTTTTTTTTAATTATTAATTTAAATATATTTTAAATATTTGCATCTTGCTTTTCTCCTGTCCCACGGGACTCTTAATACCTTTCTCTTGTTTTAAGTCAAACCAGGAGAACAGGACAAATTTTCCCTAGCACACCTCTTGTTGTAGAAAAGAGCAAGAGTCCAGGAGCACCTTAAAAGATTAACAAAATGTGTGGCGGGGGATGAGCTTCCGTGAGTCACGGCTCACTCCTTCAGACACTGCTTGTTGTGATTGAACCGGATGGGTTGGGGGCGGGGCCTCTCCAGGCATTTCCTAGCAACCCACTTTGCCTTTCATTTTCCAGGCCTGGGTAAGAGGGCAACAGGAAGTCAAAGGATATCTGGGGTGGGGGGCTAAGTTGCCTCAGTTCCCCCTCCTCCCACAGACGCAAGCAGTCTTAATAACCCTGTATTGCTTTTTCCCCTCCACCTTCCAGAATTTTGGAGCTCGTCCTTCAACACCAGGGAACCTGCCCAGTCGGCCCCACTAGTCTCCCCTTTGAGTGTGGGCACGGACCCTCTGCTGCTTTCTCTGCAGAACCCTGAGGGACAGAACTGCAGGCAGTTGGCCTCTGCAGATCCCACCAGAGATGTGTCATTTGCCGGAATGCCACTGGGGGGCGTGGGGGCCCGGCGTCAACACTTCAAGAGCAGCATCAAGGTGCAAGTCTCCACGGAGGCTGCCAGCCCCCTGTCCCCCCCAGCTGCCCCGCCACCCCCCATTCCAGTTTGGAAGAAGAAGAATCCACCCCATCCACCCCGGTTTCCTGTCTCTTGTGGGGGAAACTGGGCTTCCAGCTGCTACCCATCACCTCAAGTTTCCTCACAGGCCACAGTGAAATCAGAGGCCTACCACGTGCCCTTCAGCAATGGTGGGAGCAGAGAGAGGGAGGCCACCCATCACTTTGAGGCCTCCTTCAATAAAGCCCCTGTCTCCTCCTCGGGTCGGCTGCTGCGTGTTACGGAAGAGGAACAGACAGAGCCGCGGAATAAGGGTTTTGACCTGGGACGGCACTCTCCTTAGGACATCCCAGGCCGTGAGAGGGACATGGTGGGCACTGTAGTACCGGGCTTCACTTTTTCGTCCTCTGAGCCTTCTTGAGAAGTTCCAAAAAATGAGCTGCTGTGGAACTTTGATGACGTAGGCATGTGCCAGGTCTTCTCTGAGAAGGATGGAAGTTTGCTGGTCAAACAAGGGAGCAGAGAGGTTGGAACAAAAATTCCCTGGATACTCTCTGAGTTCTTGGGAGGAAAATCTGGGATCTGAGAGTTGGGGCTTTTCAGTTTTCTGTTCTTCATGGAAATCAGTGCCCAGATTCTTACTTGGCTCCCTTGCCAAGCAATCCCTCCTGGAATCCTGGCTCTGTACAGTAGGTCTATGGTCCACTTGGATCACTGGATACCTGAACACTCATAAACCAAACCAGATGACATCTCCACACAGAAGATGATCGTAATATCTTCTTCTGCTTTCCTTGCTTTCTCTTCTTTCCTCAGTGTCCCCACCATTCTGTGGGGTTCATCTTGGACAACTATTTTGTGTGGACACTGGAGCGATGTTATGGGTATTGTTACTTTTGTTTGTGTTATTCTATTTTGTTATCTTATGCTGTAACATATTTAAATATTATATTACATCCCCGTTTTCCTTCAATAAACTTTAACTGATCATTCTGATACTTCCTGTCTCCTTCCATGCCTGCCTCAGAGCTTTACCCACACACGGACACCTTTTAAAGGTCTCTTAAAAGTGTGTTTGTGAGAAATATTCCAGGTCTCAAAACATAAAATTATGGCTCCTTGAGAACAGGTGTAAGAAATAGGGAAAATAGGCGAGCTAGGGTCTCGCCTAGAGCGCGGTGGCCCTTAGGGGCGCCAAACAGGACCTGCCCCCCCCACCAAAGCCCCCACCAAAAGCCCTGCATCCCTGGCTGCCCTGACGAGCCCTTCTTGCTACTCAGCCCAGCCTGGCACCGCCATCCACCCGCCTTCCGGCACTTCCCGGCCCAACCGCAGCAGCAGCAGTGCCCCCTCCCTCCCACCCACCCAGAGTCGGCAGCCAGCAGGCTCCGGGGAAGAAGGGCAGCCTCTGCTGCCGGAAGGAGCACCCCCTCCCTGTGGGCAGGGCAGGGGAACCACCAGACGCCGCGGCCGCCCTTGGGTCCGGGCAGCAGGGCTCGGTCGCCAAAGGAGGGAGGGAGGGCTGGCCCGTCTGTCTCCCTTCAGGGAGGGGCTGCTATTCGTCCGCCCACCGGAGCCCCCTGCGCAAGTGAGCCCTGCCGCATCGTTGTCCTTGCTTTGGCCGGCGCGCCTGGCTGTGCGCTCCCCCTCCTTCTCTCGGCGCCGGATTGGCTGTTGGGCCGGACAGCGCTGAGGCTGCCGCTGCTGCCACCCACCAAGGAGAGCTGCTGGTCCCCACCGTCAAAGCCGGATCCAGAGCGGCCACTGGAGGCGGCCGGATAGGGTGCGGGTTCGCTGGGCAGCGAGCGCCGGTGAGTCTTGCAGCCTCTCTGCCTGCACCCCCTCCCTTACCTGGCTGCTTTGGAGGGTGCCCAGCCAGGTTCTTGTGGTGCCTCTGCTCCGCGGGGTGTTTCTGGGTGGTCTCCAGGCCCCACCGGGAGGTTGGCATCACCTGGGGGCACCACAAGCTGGCCTCGTCTAGGGTGCAGAAACACCTCGGGCCGGCCCTGTACAGCCTACATGTTTCTTCCTGAGCATACATAGTTACAGGTGAGACTAGGCCAAGGTCACCCGGAGAGCTTTATTGGCAGAATATCCATGTGGAGGGAGTTGTGCACATGGAAGAGCAAAATCTGCAAAATAACACCCCAGTACAGTTTTTGCATGAGGAAACTGCTGGGGGGAGGAGTCTTTCCTTCCCCTTTTGGGCTCTGTCTTTTTAAATAAGTGTTTCCTCACAGCTGTGCAGAAAATGGATGAAGAAGGGTAACTTGTAGCTTGGCTCAGAACAGTGGGATCTGAACCTGGGTCTCCCAGATCTTCACCCAGTATTTCAACCCCTGCATCACACTGGCCCTCTCTACCTTTTGTTCTTTGTTCTACAGCCTGATGAAGGACATTTTTTTTCCTCCAGGCAGTTGGCAACCCTAGGTACAATTTGCAGTTTTAAAAAATCACAAATCAGGTTTTTAAAAAACTGAAAGGACAGCCAAGAAAACACTGGATTGCAGTGGGACTGGATGTGATCTGCATTCAACATTAAAACTCATTGATGACAGTTCCAGATTGAACAATGAATTTGGAAGCTACTTGCCCTGTGCCTCCACACCAATGTTCTGAGGTTGACACATTACCCCTGGCTCACCACTGGGGATCTTCAGAACTGAAACTTTACTGGGTGGAGTAGGTTCAAGGTCAGTCTGCAACCCAGGGATGGGCTCTCTTTCCCCCAGCATACCCTTGGTATTCCTCCCCAGCTACAATGTGCAACAAGACCTCTATACTCAGATGCTTTCTGCAGGAAGAGAAGAAGATGAGATTGGATTTATACCCCACCCTTCACTGCCCAAAGGAGTCTCAGAATGGTTTACAATCTCCTTTCCCTTCGCCTCCCCTCCCCACAACAGACACCCTGTGAGGTGGGTGGGGCTGAGGGAGTTCTTTCAATAACAAAATGTGTGGCAGGGTATGAAAGAACTTGTAACTGACCCAAGGTCACGCCAGCAGCTGCATGTGGAGGAGTGGGGAATCAAACCCGGTTCTCCCAGATTAAAGTACGCGCTCCTAACCATTACACCAAACTGGCTCGCTTAACAACTGAATGGTTGGCCAGCCTTTGGAATGTAACATCCATGAGTAGACTTGGGGGTAGTGATACCCTCCAGCTACTGAGAGGTTGCAGAGAAACTATTTTAAGCCAGTTGTAAGGGGAGAAGCGGTGCAGCGGTGGCTCAAGTGGTTAAGATGCTGAACTGCAGGCTGTTCAGCAGTTCGAGACCTGGGTGCCGCATGATGGAGTGAGCTCCCATCTCTAGTTCCAGTTCCTGCCAACCTAGCAGTTCGAAAGCGAGAAATTGCAAGTAGATAAATAGGTACCACTTCAGTGGGAAGGTAACAGCATTCCGTGCGCCTTGGTGTTTAGTCATGCCGGCCACATGACCACGGAAACGTCTTCGGACAGCGCTGGCTCTTCGGCTTTGAAACGGAGATGAGCACCGCAACCCTAGAGTCGGACTTGACTGGCTTTCGAGCAAGGGAACCTTTACCTTTTACCTAAGGGGAGAAGAGGGCTGGGAGCTGGCTGGAGAAAGCCAAACTCTGTAGATCTGGGCTCTGGAATTTCTCACCAGTCAGGGGTGCATCTATTGCTGAACAATATGGTTAGTTTTGAATTAAAAATAGCCTTTTCCAAAGGGCAGGCTACAATTAATTTCTAAAAAGAGTGTGCCTGGAGGACACCTGAGCATGACTGACTCACAACTTTCTAGCGCCTGATGGGCACAATCCAGACCCCCCCCCCCCATGCATAATACACTAATTGTGATCGTCCCATACATGGCTTCTGTTACTTTGTGGCACGTGGGCACGTCAGAGGTATTCTTTATTCATTGTGTGCTAATGATGTGTCATGGCTGGTTCAATCCCTGTTTCAAATCTTACCTCTGCTATTGACACACAAGGGACCTTTGGCAAAGCTGCAATTGTTTACCAGTTTGCAATACAGGGAAAACACTAGCTTTGTTTGCAGGGCTGTTGTACAGTATTGCCTGTAAAGTCCTTTGAACACTCTCAGCTATGTAAATACTAGATGTTGTTGTTGCTGTTACAACGCCCCATGTTCCTTGTTCTGGGTCTGATTTCAGCCTTGCACAACCAGTGTTTGAAAACTGTTTTTTAGGTGTGTGTGGGGGGATCTCTTCTTGCCAAATACCTATCACCACCTTTGTCTCCTCTCCTCTCTTGTAGGATTTTCCTTCACCTTTGAGCTTCACATTCCTCCCACATTTCTTCTGCTTGAAACACCGCATTCTAAATTTTAAGGCAATGATATCAAGTATTCGGCTGCCAGAAGAAGCCGTACTTTTGACATTCACCTGCCAATCTAACCATAACCAGAAACTGGAGTACTGTAAAAAAAAAACTGAATTAAAATTCTGGCCATTTGAATTGTTGCAAGTAAATTAGAGTGAGGAGGACCTCCTCGTGGTTTCCCCCCCCCGCGCCTGCCCTCCCCCTTAAATGCAACTAAATAATGGCAATTATTTTATCTACAGCAAAAACATACATTTTCCATGCATTTGGATAGAAGGCAGGTCACATGTGCTAATGGTAAACAGGACTCTAGAGATCCCTGAAAGACTAACCAGATGCTATTCCAGCATACGTTTTTGTGGATGAGAGCCCATTTTGTCAATTGGGCTTTAGTCCACCAACATTTGTACTGGACCAAAATCTGCTTAGTCTTGGAAGTGCCATAAAAGTCCTGTTTATTTTTGCTGCAGCAGAATAACACAGCTATCCCTCCGGAATTTTTCTAACCCTGGATTAAGGGGTGATTCTACTCTTCGTCAACCCTCCCATATGACCAGGACAGTTGTCAATTAATGATTAATCTCTGGTGCCAAGGAGCATTTGGAAGGAGCATGCTGACCCCACGGTGTAGTGGGGGCTGCTGGGTTTGAGCAGATGTAGGAGATGCAAGTAAGAAAAATGAAAGCAGAACCTCTGCTGTGAACAGTTCTAAAACCAGGAATGTGAAGGGCCCAAAAGCAGTTTATTTAATGTAATTATTTATTTATTTGATTTATACCCCGCCCTCTCCGCCGAAGCAGGCTTCGGGCAGCTTACATAAAAATTTAGATAGATAAAACAGAGCATTTATAAAACCATTAATAAAGTGCTAGTAGACAATATTGCATTAAACGGTGGTGATACACAGTATATCAATAATAGTGGGGAACAGTCAGCAGTCCTTTGCTGGTTTCAGTTTATGACAGCGAGGTGCAGTTTGCTGATGATGGTTCCAGGCCAGGTCTTAGGCCAATATTCAGCTATTAGATGTGGCTCCTCGATCAAATGCCTGGTGGAAGAGCTCCGTCTTGCAGGCCCTGCGGAACTGTAAGAGGAAGAGCAGCATGGAAGGAACAGGTGATAGGGCTTCCATGCGGGCTTCCTCTCTTTCCTATGAAGGGGGAAATAGTATAGCAATAGAGTATTCCACCATCCTCTGACAAAAGAAATTAGGATCATGTGATGGTTGCTATTGAAAGTACCAGGTGGCACCTGGAGATCACCAGCTATTACAATTGATCTCCGAACAACAGAGATCAGTTCCCCTGGAGAAAATGGCAGCTTTGGAGAGTGGACTCTATGGCATTATACCCTACTGACGGCCCCAGGCTCCACTCCCAAGAACCTGCAACTGTTTCCCAACATGGAGCTGGCAACTCTAACCAAAAGACAGCACAGAAGGCTCCTGTATGGGGAGGGGTGGGACAGAATGGGAAGTTCAGACGCTGGAGAAGTAGTCATACTTGCCAGTTTGGTATAGTGGTCAGTCTGGGTACAAAGTAGGATTTTTTGTTGTTGTTCAGTCGCACAGTCGAGTCCGACTCTTCGCGACCCCATGGACCAGATCATGCCAGGCCTTCCTGTCTTCCGCCGTCCTCTGAAGTTT